TGTGTGTGTGTGTGTGAATTATTGTACCACCATTTTTATTTGTTTTACAGAGAGGTTTCACAGCTGCCTGGGCCTAGTGGCCCACAGATGACATTTATCCAGGAGCCTCCAGCTGTGCCTGCCACCATGTTGAGATCTACCGTGGATCAAGGGCCTTCACCACTGCCATCCCCACCAAGCACTAGTGGACCAGCATCACGACAGCTGCCTCCATCTCTGCCTGCGACGAGGTCAAGATACACCTCAGCTCCACCACAGCCACAGCCATCACCATCAACCCGGACAGCAAAGAGGTCTCGTAGAGCACACGTACCTCCCACACAGCCACAAGCTGCCCATGCACCATCACCCCCACCTGCACAGCAGCCAGCTCCACTGTCTTGGAAGACAGGCGAAGACTCTGACACTGCTCCCCCTGTCTCCAGGTTTCAACCTGCTCGCACACCCGGGCCACAGCTCAGCTCAACAGTATCAAACAAACCCCTTGACCTGTTCAAGCTGTCCTTCAGTGCACTAACAGTACAGACACTCTGTACCAACACAAACAAGCGGGCTGCACAGGAGATGGGAAAGGGTAAAACCTACAAATGGACTGACTTGACTGTAGAGGATTTCTATAAATACATGGGGCTGCTGAAACTGGACAATGTATTGGACTACTGGAGGAAGGATCATTTTGTCAGTGTATAATGAATAGTTGGTTGAAGGAAAAAAAGTTCTGATGTTCAATATTGTAAATAGTGAGATTTTGCAGTTATATTTATATACATTGTTGGTATTATAATAAATTGTTGGTTGAAAAAAAAAGTTCTAATGCTCAATTCTTTTTTTTTTTTACACATCACATGAACCTTCTTATGTAATATGAAGTCATTATTCAGTCCTGATATATCTCAGTCCCTGCTGTGGTGAAAGTAGAGTGATTGACAGCTGTTTTACTCAGAATGCGAATTTATAAAATTTCATTTTAGACATGAATAACACATTTATATACAGTGTAATTCAAATATTTCACTACTTTTGTAATCCTAGGACTTTGGTAACCTAATCTAAAACACCAAAACAATTCGATCACATGAGTAAATTTGTGTTTTCACAAGAGTTTTGAAGATTTTCCGAAAATCAGATGTCAAATTTTAAGCTTTTGAGCTACTTATCTCATCAAACAGTGCTCTAAGGTGAGTAATTTGCATATATAGCAATACTAGAGATTGTCCTGAACATTTTGATATGTAACACATGGGTGCCATGTTAGAAGAAATATATTTAAAAGGTGATTTAAGAAAACATCTAAAAATCGAGAAAATACCCTTAGACTCCAGAGGGTTAAAGCTGAAAAACAACAACCCTCTGAGATATCCCTTTTTTTCATAAATATTTACCTGTTTTTACGATACCAAGGTAACAATTTAATCATAATCTGGTGGAAATCTGGGGGGCCTGTCTGCAAAACAGGATAATCTTGAGGATAATCTCAATTATTAATAGGAGATCAACAGAGCGATGTGTTTGGGCAATTTTGGCTCTAGAATTCAATTAGTTCATTGTGATGTTGTTTATCTGGGAATTTGACCTTGTTTCATTTAAGGCAAGGCAAGTCAAGTTTATTTATATAGCACTTTTCAGCACGCGACAATTCAAAGTGCTTTACAAAATAAATTAAAAGACATTTTAAGAATAAATACAGTAAAAACACATTATATAATGGCATTTTACAACAGGCATTACAAAGCAAAGATAATAAAATTAACACAACAGGTATACAATACATGTTTAAATGGCATACTGCAGTGCGAATATGAACAGCTCAATTAAAAGCAGCGGCAAAAAGATATGTTTTCAGTCTCGATTTGAAAATAGTAAGAGTTTCTGCAGACGTGCATGATTCGGGCAGTTTGTTCCAGATTGCCGGGGCATAATAGCTAAACGCTGCTTTTCCATGTTTTGTTCTTACTCTCGGAACCAAGAGCAGACCCGTCCCAGAAGACCTGAGACACCTTGATGGTTCATAGTTACGTAGGAGATCGTTAATATACTTTGGTCCTAAACCATTTAGTGATTTAAAAACGACCAATAGTACTTTCAAATAAATTCTTTGGCCAACTGGAAGCCAGTGTAAAGATTTCAGAACCGGACTGACGTGATCCACTCTTTTAATGTTAGTGAGTACTCGAGCAGCAGCGTTCTGAATCAGCTGCAGCTTTCAGCTGTGAATACACCATTACAGTAGTCCAGTCTACTGAAGATAAAAGCATGGACAAGCTTTTCTAAATCCTGTTGTGACATTAGTTGTTTAATCCTAGATATATTCTTAAGGTGATAGTATGCCGACTGAATAACTGTTGTAATGTGACTGTTAAAGTTCAGGTCTGAGCTTTATTAGTTGTTTTGTAGTCTGCCGACTCTCTGCGATTACTTTTAATCGGTCCTTCTTTGCTCCAAAAACAATGATCTTAGTGTTTTGTTTGTTTAATTGGAGAAAGTTCTGAGTCATCCAGTCAGTGATGTGCTCAATGCACTTGCTTAGTGCATAGATGCTTAGATCGTTGTTTTTTATAATTTGAGCCAGTGGTAGCATATAGATATTAAAAAGCAAAGGTCCTAAGATGGAGCCTTGAGGAACCCCGCATTGACATATTTGTGACCCGCTCTCTCGAAATCAGTCGGAAGTCGCAACGGCTCATTTCAAAATAAACGTGGAGTTGCGTAAAAAAATAGTTTTTCGAGGTTCGGGTGTTTTGAATGATTTTAAATAAACAAAGTCTTGGCTTTCAGAATATGAAACTTTTATTTCCAAAATCACACGATAAATACATTTTTGACGCTTGTAAAGGGAAGATGACAGGCACCTCTCACTCGCACCCTGCTCTTCCGCAGCGCAGCTCCCCCTCCCTCCGGCTGAAATTATGAATGCAAGGCATATAGTAATCATAGATAACATGGCAGGGTCCGTTACAGTTTGCTTTCATCTGATTTCAAATAAACAAAGTCTTGGCTTTCAGAATATTAAACTTGTTTCGTCAAATTCAGATGATAAATACAACTTTGAAGCTTGTAACGGCATAATTACAAGCGGAGAACGGAGTAACTTAACGTCACAGCAGGCATAACAACAGCCGGTGTTTCTCGTGAACACAACACACACAAACGCAAAAATACACAAACACACACACACACATACATACCAACAAGTCCTCCAACTCATACGACCAAATGGGTCGATTGTTCAGGCCCTTATTACGACCAAATATGTCGTTTGTTCAAACGCTTGATACGTCCTATAATTACGTTTTAAAGTTTTCGCCCTCTAGTGCTCCCGTTGAATGCTAACATTACAGATGGTCGTTTATTCACAAATAACCCTCTCTGTAAAATCCTAAATTGTAGGATAGTTTGGCCATTAAAACGCTTTTTGATTAGATTTCTAGCGAGAAGTGTGTATTGTACTTTTAGAATCCACGTCCAGTCGATATGTAGGATCTATAGTTTGATAGATATTACGAAGATGATTTGTGGTATGCGGCAGCCTCCATGTAAAGTTACGGGTTGAAAACAGTATTTCCGGTCTCGACGTTTTCATAATAAAACCAATGATCAAATGATTTAACAGTGATATCTGCAGTACTCATCAACTAAAAAACATCAGTTTATCCTTGTTAATTATACGACATTTATTGATTTAAATTGTGTACAATGCTTTTGTGTTTTTCCCATAGGTTTTTCTCTTTCGATTCTGAGAGACACCTTTCTTTTTTCAGAGGTTTTGATAGGCTCGATTGTTTTAGCCGCAATGCATGTCGGGATATGGTGTTTATGCGATATTAAATCGGAAAAACATTTTTTTTAAATAAATTAATACTTTATTCCGAGTGTTCTTGCTTTTCTCTTTGGAAGTCATCACATAACGGCATTGTAATACACGGTTCGGTTGCATTAAATATTACATATCTGCCGTAGATATTTATTTATAGAGCCCTGATCAGAAGACCTTTTGACAAACTGTAAGAAATGCCGCCAAAACTGAATACGTGACGTGGATCATAAATATATTAGCAATTAAACAACATCTTCCATTTCTTTTCACAGAATACGTCTCCTTGCAGTATCAACACTAATTTGGCTGACTTTTATATTTGATCCAATTGGTAGATAGGTTATATTTACACCATAACGGTGCACAGCTGATAGAAAGGGATTTTTTTGTAGTTTTTAAAGATATTATTTACCGAACTACTTTTCCAACTCCTCACGCAGTTGACTGTTACAGGTCTATACAGGTTCATGGTACAATGCATAAGCTTCAAATCGAGAGACTGAAACTGTATTTTCCTTTGACGTTCTGTTTTAATTTCACAATAAAGTTAATAGTCATATTATGTTTGATATTATTATGTTTTATTAACTACACCACTGGTTTTTTAGAGTCTGTACAAGAGTTTGTTAATTATTGCGTTGCCTGCATGTAGGGCGGTGGTGGCGAAGTCGATAGGGACTTGGCTTGGCAACTGCAAGGTCACCAGTTCAAGTCCCGGCAAGACCAAGTGCTACCGAGGTGTCCCTGAGCAAGGCACCGTTCCCTACACTGCTCCACGGGCGCTGTTCAAAATGGCAGCACACTGCTCCTAACACAGGATGGGTCAAATGCAGAAAAACAATTTCCCCACGGGGATTAATAAAGTATATCAATGTAATACATTAATACAGCTGGGGCAACAAGAAAATCGTCGAAATCGAGTGTCACTATTAAAAAATAAATAATTATCATATTAATATTGACAATAACAACCGACCGTCTCATGGCGTCGATTATCAACGCTATGGGAGGTCTATGAAGGTCTATGGGACGCCCTGCCCGTTGAAAACTGACTCTCAAGGGGTACCCTGTCCATAATAGAGTGACGGGGAGGGGCCCTGACCGACCGTCAACATGTGACGGGTTGGGAGTGAGAATGTGTTGGATACAGAGGCACTGACTGCTTGTCTGATTTTCTGAATTTTGTCAGTGAAGAAGGAGGGTTTGTTAGTCGACGGTAGCAAACAAGGCACGTGAGTTGTTTTTATTTTTGGTAATGATGTCAGAGAAGAACGATTGTCGTGCCTTTTTTATTTCCTGATTGTAGATGCAGAGTCTCTCTTTATAGATTTCCAAGTGAACTTGGAGATTTGTTTTTCTCCATCTGCGTTCAGCTTTTCTGCACTCAGTTGTTGCTGTTCTCACAGTCATGGCTTTTCTCCATGGAGATATTTTCTTGCTAGATACTTCCTTTTTTTTAATGGGAGCAATGGTATCCATGACATTTGTTATTTTTGAATTAAATTGATCAACTAGCTCATTTACTGAGAAGTTAGCATGGGCAATTGAGGGAGAACAAATCTGAGCAAACATTTCCTGTGCATTTTCAGATAAGTGACGTCTAGCGGTTACCTCTTTCTTAGCAATTGTTTGGACGGGAATAGAGCTCTCAAAGAAAACACAGGAATGGTCGGAGAGCGCAACATCAGTCACCACAAGCTTAGAGATGTTCAGACCCTTTGATACAATTAATGTTCCCGTGCACAGTGTCAGGCGTTTAAGGTACTTTTCAAGGATTTTAGGATCAACCAAACGCCTACATGGTAGATTTAAATATTACCATAAATTCTAAACATTTTACAGAAATATTACAAAACAGAGTGATGTCCAGTACAGGCACTTTTCACCACACACTTCAGATGGTAGCACCCGACATCCTGCCAGCCTTATGAATAAATTACTTTACTACTCACTGCCAAGTGTGCGACAATGAGCTAGACTGTATTTTTGCCATTTAAATTCCTGAGCCCATTTTTATGCAAATGGGAAATTTATTGTAACAAACCATGTAACGCTGGCAGTAACACCTTATCTTAATGAATATCAAGTGCGGCTGTATTTCCCTGCTGCAATAGCTCACTAATCAACTTTTAGTTGGAATGTGATTCATAAAGGGACGATTCATGGCCTCTCGACTTACACTCAGACTCCGCGGCCTATACGACTGCGCGTGATGAGGATTGATGAAGTCATCCATCAGATTGATCGCCAGCATTCTACCAAATGAAAATGATTATCGAATTACTGTGGCCGAGCCGTTTAAAGACCCCAGACTCGTAAAACCGTGAAGTTAGAGCTTCTCTGAACCCACTCAATTAAAAAGTACGAGGTAATCGCTTATACATGCTGTTAGTTTGAGTTATGGTGGTTAGCACCTTCTCTCGCCACTGGTTCTCCTAAGATATTGTGCAATTACTTAAGAAATTATACATTAAACCTTTAAAAAGTATCAAAGGTTTAAGTTCAGGTGACCTTTAGAAAGTGCAGTAAAGTTAAATACAAAGTTGGACTATGTTTTTTTTCTTTTATAAAACGGCTCAGCTGTGAAACATAATCCTTAAGCCTCCTTCCGCTGTCAGTAGCGTGACATGAATCTTAGTCCATAAGCTAAATATTGATATTAATCAAAACCTGAAAAATAATTAATCCTCTTTACTTGTTTGTCCATGTTTTTGACCTTTCTCACCAGGATGAGTATCCAGAGTAAACAGTAGATCTGTTGTTTTCTACTGGCCTCCTTGTGACTTGAATGCAACATCAGCACTGCAAATATTACAGATATCAAAGTGAACTTTTAACAGTAACGGTAAAATGTGATTTAAAGAATAAACTTGGATCCAAACAAAACCATCTGTACGTTTTTATTAAAAAAACTCCCACTTGGCAGTGGAACCGCCATATGGGCATTCAGCTCTTACCATAGCTATCCCTTTGGCCCATATAAGTTTAAAAAATAATTCTTCCATCAATATATGTCAACTGCTGTAGGGTTAAAGGGGCAGCCTGGGCTAAATGCAATTTTAGGGGTACAAAATATATTAAGCATATTGTTGCATACCAAGTATTAGCCAGAGTTAGTGGGGCCAAATGGGCGTTTATGCTTATCATTATGGAGCCCCAATGGCTTGACTTGGTTCAGTTTTGGTGCTTATCTGGACTTGTTGGCTTAAATTATTCTTCAAGTTGAAAGGATACTAATCTTTTTTTTTGTTCAACACAAATACAGCAAGTAACATAAATATAGAACAAACCGCATAGTCCCATTGGAAATCTGCGTTTGCCTAATTTGCAAAATTGAAATAGTCATTATAAACTTAACATTTCTAATGAGGCCTCCACATACTGACATACATATTGCAAATATGCAACACTAACTCCTATTTCGAGACTAGAAATGTCGGCCTCGATGGAAACCTGCTGCATATCCGTTGAGTCCGTAGTAGGGTTTTATCTATTATTTATTCTAAATGACTAAGTAAGCCTTAATATTAGACAAAATAAGACATAAGTTATCGTTAGCTTAGCTTAGCTTACCTACAACAATAAACCCTTCGAGCTAATTGAAAACAAGGCTAAATGCAGATATTTCTTAGAAGGATTTCTGGTATGGTGATGAAAAACAACAACACCTCTCTCACTAACTAAGCTTTTAAGTCCTGTTCTTTGGTTAACAATCAGAACTATCTCCGTGCTTTGAGGATTTCCTCACCTTTTGTCAATAAAGATGCTTTATTTAAAATAAGAGCTTTAGTACAAATGATGATTGGCCCATATGTAATCTCGATTTCACAGAGCAGAACGACAACAACAGAAAATCCCAGAGGGCTTTGTCCCGTTTGTTTTTAACAGCTACTCCAATTACCATCATTGGACACTGGGGACAAGGTGACAAACATGTTGTTGTCTGTGTGCACATTACATTGTTTGTTTGCTCTCACATACCACCAGGTTGAGCTAATACTTCACAGCCTTTGGTTAGATTAGAACATTTGGGAGGTGTCAATCAGTAGCCCCGCCTACTACCTTTCCATTGTAAGTGTCCTGTGGACCAATAGAAAAGCAAAGAGGGAGCATTCACCCTCCACCTTTCCCTCCTTCACTCTGCCTGTCTCCCTGTCCTTCTCTCCCTTCATTCACTGAGGATCAAGCCTTCATAATCCCAGGATTTTATATCCACCAAAACAGCTTGGGCCCATCAGCAAATTGCAATGGCATATGGTATAGGTTTATGATTCATCTGGCACATGCATAGCAATGAGAGCCTCATCATCCGTGGGCAAACACCGGGAAAATATTGTAATGTTAAACGATGCCAGCCACGGAGAGAAGAGGCAGCGGCCGTGTGGGAGCCTGTGTTTGTTCGGCCCAGCGAGCGCAGCAGCTGAAGGTTGTAAACAGCTTTTCAGATCTGCTGTCCTCCCCAGCGGACCGGGCCAGATTAAGGACGGACTGGACACTACGAGAAGAAACTCCAGAGGGAGAGAAGATGGAGACAGGCAGGCCTGAATATGTCTTAAACAAAAAGCCCTAAACACCAGGGATTCATTTACAATGTCGACACTTGTTTAAAAAGTTTTAGATACAAAATTCACAAACCCTCAAAATAATTAAACATGAAGTGAAATGGGTTTAATAATGTTAACTTAAAAATATGAAGCAACAGCCAGAGGGGACAATTCCAATGCAAACATATCATATGTCTGATTCTATAGAAGACTATGACAAAATTACCTCTCTTTTTACTTGATTTATTACTTGTTCTAATTAGCTAATGGTCTAGATTCCTAGTTGTAGGTCTATCTCAATGAAGACTTGTGTTTATTTTATAAATGATGGTCCTGTTTGGAGTTAAATAAACAATAAAGGAGGTTGTGCTTTTATGATGCACTATGATTGACAAGTTGCTATCAAGAATTTGTTGCCAGCACAGTGCTGTTAGTTTTGTTGAACTAAAAGACAATGACTCTTTATATTCCTGCGTGTAACTTATTTTGCAACCATCCTAATTGAAATGATGGTTAACGTGTTATAGATCTACAGATCAGGATCTTGTTAACTAAGTTAGCCTGGAACTTAGCGTTTGATATGCTGGTTGTGCCGGGCCTCGCTCCTCTCAAACTCCTCACTCCCATTCAAATATGGTCACTTCAAAACAAGATGGCACTGGTCAAAATGCCAAGTTCGGGCTATCAGAGCGTTGGTGGCTAAAAAGATATCCTGTTCTTGTGTGTAATTTAACCAAGTGTTGAAATTAGAACATTCACTGCGAGCTAATATGATTGCAGTTACATTTCTTTGTAGATACTGTTAAAGGCACAGATCACCCAAGCTACCTCAGTTATCATTTGTATTGTATCATAGTATTCCCGCTGCTTGTTGCACCCACTGACATAATCCACAGCATTAGCACCATTTCCAAACATCTGCTGGAGAAGTCAGAAGCGATCTGCTGCCCCCTCTGCCCGAGCCTCTTTGGAAAATGTGACATGATAACACACAAACACCTCCAGCCAAACTTTCCCTCTGCCTTCATTAAAGCGCGAAACAGAGTGCTGCTGGCAAGGTGACTCCAGCCGGCAATGCCACGGCTCCACCCCCCCACCGGGACTTAAACAGCCCCATGCGATTGGCTCAGAGGGCTTTCGGTCAGACGCAGTGCCAGGTCAATATGGGTTCAGACGGGGAGCAGAAGCGACTGTGGATGTGCAGCTCGGAGAAGGCCATGAGCTAACAGTCAGTATGTTGGAGGTTTATCATTGGCGGGCTCCAGACGGCCCCACGACACCCCCCACCCCCCGGCCGGACAGGTGATCTCGCTCAGCCGCCTGACTCAACATATGCCCCCGCAGAGCTTCTACACACATATTGTGCCATCATTATTTCATACCTAGCAGGAGCGTCTCTGAGCGCGGCACAGATAGGTGCAAAAGCAGGTTGCTGTGAAAAGAGTTATTTATTTGTTTTCGGTGTGTAGCAAAAGGTAGGAAAGGGAAAATGGCAACCTTTTGCATGTGCTGACCATCTGTCCGCTTGAAAATATGTTCACCTCATATTTAAGGCAAAGTATTTTTTTAAAACAACCTGAAAGTTCTAGGTTTTTTTTCTACCGGAAGAAGTCATTAGATCACTTCCTGGTTGGATTACCTCCATAACCTGCTTCTGACATAGCATATGACTTCATAGAATATCTTTT